CCCAAAAGTTGTTCTCTTCCAGAGTGGACTGCAATTTCGACATCGCCTATGTTTTATCACCATCCCCACTGGGACTCGAAACATGAAAGTTCAGTGCATAATCTTGATACGTTAACCATTACGCCACATTTCCAGGGCAGATGTCAATTTCAAGAAAGGCCTGGAATTTTCCCACATCACATTCTACTGTGGGATTGTCGATGAAGCAGTTATATTTACTATAACAATAAACTACATTTCTTATTTTTAGTTTATAAGTTATGTTTAAAGACTATCCCTGGTGGCATTGAAAAGACCTAAGCGAGGTCGAAACAGCAGTCCACCCTGGATGAGAACACCTTTTGGGAAAGAAATTCTATGTAGAATTCAATGGAAGGATCAGGTCTACTCATATCATGGTAGGAAAATTCTTATACCAGTCCTTCATCACTTTAAACGAAGTAGAGTGAATACAGCTCCTTATCCTTTCTTATCTTTGTACATTTAATGACCATACTTCATTATCTACGGAGAATTTACTTGGCTAGATCTAGCTTATCCTACATCTCATATCCACGGCAAAAATAGTCAATTTACCCCTTACTGGACTTGCTTTAGCTGATATATTTATAGATATTAAGTTAAAATGTTTTTATCTTTTTCTATTTTAATTTATTGACTCTGATTTGTTGTGAAATTTTTTTATATCTACTAGTAAACTTTAAGAAACTACACAGGAAAAGATCGGTCTGACCCAAAACTAACTTAGAAAACAATATCTTGACCTTGTTGATGCTAGCTAGTCTAATAAGGTATCTTATTTATTACTTCTGCCTTGTCTTAATTACTTGTAAGTATAACGTATAATTTCTTCGGGTAGTCATTGAGTTAAGGTTTTCCTCTAATATGTATTATATCTCAGGAAATCTAATCTGCTCTATACTTTTCACTAATTTCTCCTGCAGGCATTTCTGGAGACCCTCCTAATGGCCTTCGTTGTGTAGGTGGCACACCACTTGAGTCATCTACGACTTACTGCATCCCAACTAATGCTTGTGTTGGAAGCAGCTCCCTCAATTGTGTGTGCTCCAGTAGCTCGCTCAGCTCATCTGGCTCTCCCATTCTGTCTGCTTCAAATCTTCACCATTTTCAGCACCAATACGAACGAAATACTCGCAATCTAAGTCATCAAACCCATTATGGCCACCATAATCATCACGCTCAACGCCATCAGCATCGTCATCACAACCATCTACCTCAGCCTCAGGCCTACTTCCAGGTGCAAGCTCCTTCTTCCCAGTCGCTTCCGCATCTCTCGGATCGCCAGGCGCCTCCTCTACTTATTGGTCAATTCGGTGGCCCAGGTTCCATTCAACAGCCTAAAAGTTCGGCTACTCTCCTTAGTACTTTCAACACTACTCCCATCTCTACATTTTCCACCTGCACTTCTTATAGCAGTGGCCCATCTTCAGGAGGTGGATACAGATTTGGTTCAGACCTTAGTGCCAATTTGTCTAGCACGGGAGTTACGATTCGTAGTTCATCCTCCAGTCAGCTAAAGCAATCTACAACACTGCCTGTGCTGACGAAAGCATCTAACACAGGCTCTGCCCGTCAGCAGACAACAGTTTCAGTGGAAGCCCTGTTCCAGCAGTCCCCGACTTCTCCTGTTAATGCTCCTCTCAGCGCTGGTGGTGGAGCTAATTCCACTACTGCTCTGGGCGCAGCTAGAAAGTTGACAGGTCTTTTGTCTGTTGATCAGTCATTTGGCCCTGGCGCTTTGACTGATATCTCCGAAACTACTTTTACATCTAGCAGACGAAGCTCTTCGTCTTCCTCATCAGCTTCACCTCCACCGTCTGGGCAGTCAAGCTCGGTTTGTCACGCTATTTTTCAAACTATTTAAATTTGATTTAAATGGTCTTGGTCCAAGCGTTCATGCTATTTTTATACAAGCCATTATTAGTTTGTTTTGCATGTTCGTGTAGACAATTATATTTACTTATGCTTCGTTTATATTGCTTGGCTAGCTTATTTAATGAAGCTGGATCTCCATCTTGCTTTTTATCGTAGTATTAGAATCCCTGAATCCAGGTGCCCTATTTATCAGCACAAGCTTGCAGTAACGCATCGACATGATTTT